TCAACCACCCTGTGTTGATTGTAGTAAAACACAAGAGAATTGGGCTTGTCTACATGAAAATTGTAACTATGTGAGTCATTCGTTAACAATCGAAATATATTCATATATTTATTTTAATTATTTTATTAGATTGGTTGTTCTCGTTATCAACAAAAGCATATGTTGAATCATCATGAATCAACTGGACACAATATTTGTCTTAGTTTTTCAGATCGTTCAGTCTTTTGCTATGCATGTGATAGTTACATTGATAGTCCTCAATTGCATAGTCTTAATCGACAACTAAATCGTGTTTCTCATTAAAACCAAACGGATAATATGCAAAAAACTTTCATTCATATATTTTATTGTTACTATTTTTTAATCTAGTTGTTTTAATAAAATAATCGAGAGACTATTATAGTTTCACGTTTGTCTTTGTTATTCATTGCACAGATGTGATGTTAATAAATGTATCATATCTATTAGTTACTCATCTAGTGATAGACATGAGTCTATTGACGTTAGAAAGAAATATAGATGGTTTTAAAAAGCATTTAAAGAGACAGTTTATCTACTATTAAAGATCTATGTTTAAGAAAGTTTTCTTTGAAAAAAAAAGATTTTAAATAATACTCACTTCAGTTATGTAAATCCAATGAAAGAAAAATAGTTTTTAAAGTGTTTCTGAAATGTACGTAGAATCAAAATAAAAGTTAAATCTTCTTTGTTTCATATCATCAGTACTAATATACTTCAGTTTGAAAAGTGAAGAATATCATTTCTTCAAACTAAACCATTCATATGAATCATTATCTCTTAAAAAATAGTATCACTAAGTTCTTAAACATTTTATATGAAACACAAATAATCAAATGAAATAAATAACAGTCAATAATATCTAAAATTTGTTTATGTCTGAGGTAGAACAATCAGTCATATTCATTATTAATAGTTTGATAATCTATTAACAAAATTTTCAATGACATGTTTATATTTGTCTTCATTATTCAGGTAGTTTATTTTCAACTAAATCGTATGACAAAGGGTTGTTTCTTGTTATCATCGTCGGTGTTTTTTTGGACGTGTCGTAATTACACTCGATGATAGAAAGAAACTTATCTGTGCAGACTTGCATAAACTGAAATCTGAAATGCACGTGTACTTAGTATTATGTTATAATACAAAATTTGTATATTGAAAAATCTTGACAAAATGATAGCTCTTCTATGAAAAGTATAGAATTAGTGGAGTAATGCATTATTACCCATTGAAATTCATAGAAAGCTTTGGATGACTCTACAAGATTTTGAGTATTCTTTTTATCTTTTCTCTAGGTTCTTTTTTTGTTTCGTTAAACTACACTCTGTTTTGTACTGTGGGATGGACAGTGCTCATTAAATTTTGATCTAACTGTTAGAACTAGAAGAAAGTCAAATCTTTGACAGTTACACTGATACTCAAAACTTTTCTTTGAAAAATATATATGTGTGTTCTAGGATGTCTAACTAATAATAAGAACCAACGATAAAATGATATACTTCGCTAAATAAGAGTGTGCTAGAATATAATTATATTAATTTTATTATTTGGTTTTTGTAGTGAAATACTGATTAATCTCTAGCTTATTTCAATGTTTAAGAAGAATTTATTCATGATTTGTTTCGGGTATTTGATTGAATATGACTGAGTTTCAATGCCACGACAACACTTTTTACAACAATACGACTATATTTTTGTTTTCCATTTTAAAAGTTTTTGGTGACAAAGCTTTAAAATCTACTGACAAAATGCATGCTCTAATTAACAAGTAGAATTATCTCACTTAATTTGTTGAGACAAATTTATTTTCAATTGTATTCTTAGATATGAGAAAACAACTGAAAATCATTTATTATATTCAGTTCACTTAACAAAGTCTTTATTTTCATTGAAATTTAAATCATTTTCTATATGTAAAGAAACTGAAGTTTTGAAAAACTTCATCTCTAATTAAATAATAAGTCGTAGCAATTTAACGAATTATTATTGTGTTTTTGTAACTTTAAATGATCTCTAGTATGATGAAAATAGGTATCTATAAATAAAATCTTTTTTTTTATGTTTGTATTAAACCCATATTCAGACTAGACTATATGTGAACAGCTTTGATTCATTCATTATGAAATATATTGATATCGAACGATATTTTAATCATTTAACAAGTTCATCATCTAGTCCCTTCCTCACTAAAAGATTCACTTCTCTTAGTTACTCTGTAGGATATTCTGACGTTTACCTCTCGATACCGGGTATAACGATATTATGACATTTGTGAAAAAAATAAAATACCGAATGTTATGAGTCTAGCATTAAAAGAAATATATTTTTTGATTTTAATCCCAATCAGCAAAAGATAAAAATATTTTTCCACTAAAACGACCGTCTTCATTAAGAACAAAATAGAGAGTTACATTAAATGTTTATTATTTTGCCGCTATAAAAGTAGATGCTATTGCACTGATGACTTCAAGTTATTAAGTTAAAATGCAAACCTATCTTGTTTTGACAGGGACAATAGCTCGAACTTGTATGGAAGGAGAGGTTTGGATGAATATGCTTTAATCACGTTAAAGTGTTAGGTTATATGAATGCTCGGACTTATGACTATGTAGAATTCGTAATCGATCATAGAAAGCAGCAATGAAAGGTCGAAACTTCAACATTTCACATATTTTCATTTCAGCTCAACGCTTAATTAATTGAACGATAGACGAATGTATTGTTTACATATAATTTTAGTTCATTTACTGGATAACATGCAGGAAAAAATGTCTCAATCGTTTCTTCGCTACATTGTTTTGAAAATGTGTTTCACAGTTTGTTAATAAAAGCAGATAAATACGTCGCTCTTGTCCTGCAAATCACAAATTATTGCTGACATTGATTCATGATCGAACAAAAATCTGCTGTATTTCATATCCATTTGTATAGACAATTGCATACTGTGTCCCAGTGATCGCATAAACCCACACATTGTTAAACGAATATCTTAAAATGTATGCATACTGGTATTTTGACTACACTGGTGTGAATCTAATCAACAAAATAATGCTTTTTGATGCGCGGTCATTCGTAGATCATTTTAAAGAGATTTGAAGCATCCTCACCAGAGTCAATTAAAAAAACACTATTTTGATTTCTGTATCGTATCGTTATAAAATCAATAAATTCGTTTGGATCATCGAAGACTTGCAAATAATGAAAAACATCTATACATTACTTGATCTCATAGTATTAGAGAGGTCCAAGATAGCTAAAATAAAAGAAAGTCAATGTGTATTACTATTGATGGTGGCTTATTAAAAAAACTCTTCAAAATCGAATAAAGGGATATGCTTTGAAAGGTTTTTTCATCTGTATGTCATAACATCATTACCTATAGACAGTGTCTAATTACCAACAGTACAACTTGCAACATTCGCCGAGATGAAGCGAAATATCTTCGAACCATTCATAAAATAGGAGTTTTTTTTTCAAAAAACCTAATTTTATCATTGGAAAAGTTCATGTCTGTAGATGCTGAACTGAATTCATATTCAATAAGCGCATAACGATAGAGGTATACACCGACTTGGATGCATACTTTGATCTATTGTAGCCACACTTACACCACGCCACCTTTTGTTTCACTTGATTCATTGGTTAATGCGAATGGGTCAATCATTTTTTTTTCTTGTCTGTTATTTCATAACACTGATGAACATGGCGCGCAAGATTTGGAAAATGATTCATATTAAAATTATAAAGAAACGACCATGAAACAAAATAATGCACATTACACGTTCGTTTTTCTTCGTAAGGTAAGCAATGATGAAAGAGTGTTGGTAGTTTTTCCTGTCGTCGTTGAGCTCACCGTGTGTTTCTTTTTACCGGTTACTCACTCAGTCAAGCAACTACAAAAATGCGACTGAAAGACGTAACTGAGAGGATCATCTTTGGTTATTACTCCCAGTTTTTGATAATAAAACATCTGACAACCAAAAACATGAGTGTGAGAAAGTACAATGCTCCTGTGCCCAGGTCAATGACTCCACTGGTCGAATCCATGAATTTCCGACTGGAATACTGAGAAAAATGGGAAGCATTTGAAAGCAGAAATTTGGCGGTAGAATCTACTGTAGTAGTTGAATATTCCAGTTTTAACCGAAACTGGTCGTGATTCATTCATCATAACAGTCATTACTTTACCGATTTTCTCTAACATACAGAAACGTCACTCTCACCCACTAAAGTCAGCTACGTCAGGCCATTCAAATGTATTTCAGGACGTATCTGCATTCGTGTTTTCGCTAGTTGTTTCTTTCTTTAGTGCTCGTTTTACTACTTTTTCTTGCTTCTCTTGGCATTGGAAAGTCGGCATTCTTATTCCCAAGCATCTAATGAATGTATGCATTGGACGGGAACTGATAAACTTTTGGAAATAGGTGCATAATGAGTCACTATTTGCTTAGGTATCAACATAGATAAATTACATTACTTACGGCTATCTTTTTGTTTTGTGAAAGATAATCTAAGAGAAGTGTTGAAATGTAGGATAAAAATTCTGAACCTCCTTCTCCCCCTCTTGGGCCTTCTCATCCATGTAACAGATACCTTAGTAGTGATATGTTACAGATCATGGGTAGCATCTTAACAATGCTTTCTTCTTCATCATCGACTATGATAAATATCCTTGCGAAATCTAAGCTTTTTATGGAGTCAGCTTACAACATAATTGAATTTAAGACTTCTTGTTTTTCGACTTTCATCCTTATTCGCTGCGCTATAGTACGATTAACATTCTTTATCATTGATTAGCAATAACAACAGATAGTTGCTCACAAACTGAAACATATGTTTTTATGTTGCATTTGCGCTTTCATAAAGAATAGAGAGGCAAATCATATTTGTCGCATAAAAATAAATACGATGAAATAAAGCAATATGTGGTAGTTATTTGTTTATTTTTGTTTATTTTAGTGCTAGCATTTGACAATCGTATGTCTTCTAAGAGTTTACCGGCTCAGACAGGTCCTGTCTATCGTATTCCACCTTATTATTATATTCACGTATTAGACCAGAATACAAGTATAACACGATTGGAAATCGGTCCACACAAGTTCTTGAAACAAGGCAATGAGACAATAGTTTTTGGGCCTGATAAAATGATTACTCTACCACCAAGACACTACTGTGTTATTGAAAATCCAGTTGTGAAGAATGAAAATAATCAAGCACAATTCGACAAAAATGGTCAAGCAAAATTGTTGCATGGTAGCCTAGATGTTAGACAGGAAAACGATTATGAAGAACCATTTCCATTGTATCCTGGTGAAGTTTTAAAACAGGTACTTTGAATATCATTATTTAAAGTAATTTTTCATAGTATCTATTAATATTATTCCAGGCTGCCACACCTTTAAAATATGTTGCGGCTAGTTCAGCATTACGATTAAAAGCCGTTTTGGATTTTGATGATAATGGAGAACAGCGAAAAGCTGGAGACGAATGGCTTTTCGAAGGACCAGGTAAGTAACTACGTATTCAGCTATAATTCATTTAGTGAATTCACTCGAGTCATGATAAGTGTACGTTAACTATACAAATATTTTAATTTTTCAGGCACTTATACACCACGCAAAGAAGTATCGGTTGAAGAACACATTGTTGCTACCGTGATCGGTCCAAATCAAGCACTAAGATTAAGTGCTAAAAAAGAACTTGTCGATCGTATGGATCAACGTCGTGTGGTGGGTGAAAACTGGTTAGTAAAACAATTGGGTGCTTATTTACCATTGGCTTATGAAACAGTTGTGAGCATTGAAAATGGCTATGTTGTAACAGATAAAAAAGCTTTACATTTACGTGCACTAAACACATTCACAGATGATTTTGGTCAAACAAGAAATAATGGGGACGAATGGCTCGTGACAAAAGAGCAAACTGAAACACATATTTTGAATGTCTATGAACAACTTGTGGCAATTGTTGATATAAAAACATTGAATTCAAGACAATATTGTGTCATCTTAAATCCAGTCACATGTAAGAATGCTAGATGTCAAACTATGATTGGACTTATTATGATTTCTATTTTCTTTTCAAGCTAACGGTAAAAACCAATGGGGCAAAAAGAAATTAGTCGTTGGTGACAAATCCTTTTTCTTACAACCTAATGAACAATTAGAGAAAGAAATTCAAGATGTGTACGTATTGAGTGAAGATGAAGGTATCGTAGTAAAATGTATTGAATCGTTTGATGATGAAATAGACAATGTGACTCGTGTGCCGGGTAAGAGAAAAGAATTTTATTAATGTTTTTAGTGTAGACAAATTACCAATGGCTAGGCTCTAGAGACCTGCGGGGAACTCCGAAACCCAATTATGACTCCGACCCCATCGGAGTCGTGATCGGAGTCAGAGTCAAAATTGTAACTGCCTCCGACAAAAATGTTTACTTTTCACAAAACCAATAGCTTTACTTTTCACAATAATAAAAGAAACAACATAATTTATTACATAGATTAAGAATGAGCTTTAAGGTAAAAAAAGGACGATCAACTTTTAGTTATACTATTCTAAAAATCAGCTATATGAAAACATAATGAGATTAATCAAAAAATATTTTAATTTCATCTGAATACTATAACTGTCTTCATCATCAATTCTTGATTGTTTGGGTATAGTACGTGTCGAGTTTTACAGCTTCATGTTTTTCATGTATCAGTTTTTCAAGTTGTTTTCTTGTCAAAAACTTTGCAATCTTTTTTATTTTTTTTACGCACAAAAACTGAAAAAGAAATTTACGATCAATTTTTTAATAATTCTTTGACTTTTCTTCATTCATTCAACTTTTTATCCAATTGCCTATGTCTATGTTAAAATTTGAACAATAGAATAGATTATATGTTGCTCATATCAGACAAAAAAAAATTCGTAATTTTTCGGAGTTAGAATCGGCCCAGGACGAGCATTACGACAGTCGTAAACGATCGTATACGACGTCGTATGCAATCGTATACAACCGTATATCGTCGTGTCGTATACGACGAAATACGACGTATATACAACCACCGTAAACGATCGTACGCGGTGGTATACAACGTCGTTTCTCACATTATTCCACATAAATTTGTCCTATTTCCCCCTTCTCATTCTCCAAATAATATAAAGACTAATATTTGGGATGCCCAGTCTGGCTGGGCACCCCAATTTATCTCAGTAAATACTTACTGTTTCATTTATTCTTATAATAAATCTAAAAATAAAAAAAAAAAATTATTTACATAAATTCTAACTTACTGTTCGATGTATCGTTGTTAAAAAGTAAAATTTATTTAAATATATTAATACTTGCTTTTCTTTTTTCTATTGATATAAATTTAAATAAAAAAGAAAAAAAACTTGTTTAGTTTAAAATAACATTTAAGGTTCGTTGTGCCATCGAGAGGGATCGTATAGAAAAAAAATTGTCCCTTATAACAAAACATATTTACTGCACATTGTACGATTGTAACAGATATAAATATTAAAAAAATTCTTTTGTACAAAGAAAATTACTTAGCGTTGAACACGACAAAATACGATCGTATACGAACGCCGTTTACGATGGTCGGATTGAACGGTCATTTACGATTATTGTATAGCATCGTATACCAGTGACGTATACAGACATCGTATACGATCATCGTAATCCGTCGTATTTTTTTGTATACGGTCGTTTACGATCGTACTTTTTCAACCTGGGGAAATGAAAAAATTAAAATTTTTGGAGTTGCGGTCGGGTTTCGGAATCGAAAAAGTTGACTCCGTAGGACTCTACTAGGCTCTCCCTACACAAGAATTAAAACTGTATATTCTATATGAATTTTTGGAACAATTCAAATTTCTTTTAAGGCGACAAATGGGTGATAAGAGGACCAAAAGAATACATACCACCAGTCCAAGTCGAAGTCTTACAAAAAAGAAAAGCGATACCTTTGGGTAAGTTGCTTGATCTTTTATATCTTGTTTATTTATTAGATACTGTTCTAGATGAAAATGAAGGTATCTATGTTCGAGACTTAAAAACTGGCCGTGTTCGTGCAATTGTTGGTAATACATACATGTTAACACAAGATGAAGAACTCTGGGAAAAAGAATTACCATTAAGCATAGAAGAGTTTCTTCAACGAGATTCTTTAGTTGATAGACGTACCAAAACAACAGTAACGTCGTCATTTCAAACGACAAAACGTGACAAATCCAGATTAGTTACCTATCGAGTACCACAAAATCAAGCCGTGCAAGTGTTTGATTACAAAGAGAAAAATTCAAGAATCATTTTTGGACCAGAATTAGTCATGTTAGGACCAGATGAACATTTTACATACATAAATCTCTCTGGATCCGTTATTGCTTCTTTATTTTTACTTGTCTTTCTTTCTTTACTTTTCGTGTTGAAAAGAGCTATAAGCAACAAAATAATTTTCTTTTCGTCTATCTTTGCATTCGTATTATACTTTGGTTTACGACGTTTTATTTAATAAAAAAAAAAAATAGAAATCATTGGAAAAAAACACGTATGAGTAACGAAAGGTTTTCGAGAAAACCTAGTCTATTTAGCCGTTGTGACAATTTGAGCGAACTGAAAGCATGCATCTGAGAATCAGCACACCTTCACGAAAAAAAGACTCTTCATTCACGATATCCATGAATGAATAGGTGATCATATATATTGACAGTATTTTATATTGTTAGTATTAGGGAAGAAATTGTAAGTTTTCGTTGAGACTCAATGATACTTGATAGCTTGGCTCAATATATGTTATATTATTGCTTCACAGATTTCTTAGATCACATTTCATACTAAATCGAGTGCAAGTAGAACAAATGATAAGCTTGTTGTGATTGTATTGATCAGTGTTATATTTTTGAAACTGATTCAAATAACAAGCTCTTACTAATACGCAGCAATCCAAAAATTTAGTAAATACTTTTTTCATGTTCCAATTGAATACAATCAAAAACAAATCATTGTTTTTTTTTCAAGGAAATCTAAAAACTTCTAAGAGGCAAATCATTCCTTGTCTTTTTTCACAATGAAACAGTGTCTATTAAATATGTATTGTCAATGGTGGAAGTCTCACTGACAAGCACATGACGTCATTATGTAGTGACACATTTGGTTTATCAGCTAAATCTAACTTGTCTAAGAAAAGTTTGACTTGAAGTTTTAGTTTGTGAAAAGATATTCAGATATGATAGGAATATATCTCGCACAAATCATTCTTCGTATTTATCAAATTATAAGTTAATCACGATTCGTTATCGTTCGTATTCAATCTACTAACTGCTACAACAGACAATGACAGCATCTACGACAATTGCTTTGTTGATTCTAATAAAACGAATGAGCGTAGATGAAAACAAGATCTTCACATCTATTCACGTCCAACTACGTAGTATATTTCTCAAATAATCAGTGTCTTCATGATTTTTAAAGTGAGATGAGCTAGTTAGGTGAATTTGTGTGTAACTGAAGAGGAAATCTTTTCTTCACTTATTCGTACACTCAGTCGCATGCAAACTCACACCATCGTGAAATAAATTCAATTATTACATAATTTTGATGATAATATACTGCAAATCTAAAGGAACCAGATGTTTTATTATTCTATAAAAACTTTATGAAAGAATGTTTGAATTCAGAACATTGTCATGCATATAGTTGATTGTCAAGGTTATAGTTCAACTAAAAATAGAATAAATATACAGTTTGCTTTTAGCTTCAAAACGAACTCGATTTTTTTATCATGGGTAAGAATATTAATGTAAAATTTATTTACATACAACGATTTCTGATTTTGATGACTAATCTATTCGTTTTCATCAATATAATTGCACAAAATAAGAAGAAAAAAATGTCAATCTTTTTTAAGTCATATTTTAAATATTTCTAAACAAATAAAGTATATGAAGTGTTGAATCCTTATTTTTTTATATTTTCCTCTTTTTTCATCATTATTTTTGTTGTTGTTGATTATTCTGTATTATAATCAACGTTCAAATTGCAAAGCATAATTCAATAAACCTCTTGAATCTACTTCCAACTTAACTTGTCGTAAGTCTTTCGATAAAACAAACAATTTAGTCCTAGTGAATATTTGAGAAAAGATGATCATAGTACTATTTTTATATTAGCGTATATATCTGTTATTGTTTCACTTATCTACTTTTGATAAGTAGTATCTTTAGAAAGCCAAGGAGCTTAGTCAAGCATCGATGAATATGATGCGCAAAACCTATCTATCATAAATGACGTCAATGAAAGAAAAGATTCAAAAAACTAAATGCGTAAATATAGACATGTTTTGTATTACGACATACTCTATCATTAGATTAATATTTTATACGTCAAGGCTAATCTACGATTTTGCCAAAGATAGATCAATATTATTCATAAAAAAAAGACGATATGGTGTCTCCTACGTTTTATTAGTTTTGTTTTTTAGTTGAAGTCATGCTCTACCAAAGACTATGATACTATATAAATCTCATCGATTGTGCAAAATAAGTAATCTTTTTACATAAGGCTATTCGAGTTTGATACTATCAAAGCATCATGAAAAAGTTAATTATAAGCTTGTTACTAGCAACTTTTGCTATTATTGCTTTATGTGCAGCAGAAGACAATCCCATTCATGTTGACAAACCGCGTGCTGCACTAAAACCAATTCGAACGATTCCTCCAATTATCATTGATCCAAGTATTTTTTGTTTATTATTTCCATTGCCAGATAGGTGCAATCCATGCAAATATGGTCAACCAATCAGAAATGTGACTTGTGGACAAGGACAAAGAAGATGTGCAGCCAATGGTGGTACATGTAAAATAAATCAATACGATAGAGCTTATTGTTGTCCAAATGAGCATCCAGGTTGTTGTCCATTGGTAGTATCCTCACCTGTTATTATTGGACGTCCTTCTTTTTGCTTTCCACCATGTATAACAGATGCTCAATGCAGAAGTTATCAAAAATGTTGTGGAAGTTGCCGACGATGTGTCAATGCCATACTCACATAATTACAAAGACTAATATTTATTTTGCTTACAAATAAGCTTTGAAATTCTTCTTTTTTTACATAACTAATAAACTCGATCGAATTATTATTATCATGTGTTTCATTTCACAAGACAGAATTATTCTACTTCTGTGATATTTACAATGTTTTCAGGATTGAAATAAAGAAAAAAAAACGAATTTATCAGTTTTGGTCTATTGAACAGAACTGTGCTCATGAGAAATATCCTTGGAATAATTAATATATTGCAATTCGATGAACCTTGTTTTAATGTTGTATCTGTTATGTAAAGAATATTATTTTTGGCAGCTATTGTGTAATAAACTATTCAGTTTGACAAAATTCCGAATTGCTAAAATTTCATCGCGATCTATTTGTAATTTACTTTCTCACTGAGAAATGCATGCTGGTAGTGAAACAAGTTCATTAAAAAACGATTGATTATACTACGTACGAGAAAAGTATTCCGAATCGTATTTTTGATGTTAAATATATAGTTTATGGACGAAATAATTTTATGAAGATAGATATGAATAGTGCAAGAACAGGTTCTTCCAATATAATTAAAAGCTTAAAATGAAGATACAGTGTTAATAGATCAATTTTATACTTCATCGTGCGCATTCTTTTGTTGACCTTGTAATTTCAAGTTCTTGAGTTTGATTTTCTGTTTGATAATGTTCAGTACTGACTCACTAGCGTTAAAATCAGGCCTACAACTTGATCATTTGCATACTACAAAATGATGTTCTTAACTGGAGAGTGTGACCACTGAAGCGTGCAATGATTTATGCACACATTTTCTTCAAAAATGCATTGAGAAAAACATAAACTATATATGAACACCTTGTATCTTCGTTGTAAACTTCTAATTATATTGTAAGTGTCTATTCTTGTACTATTCATATCTATCTTTATGCTATTGTTTCAAACACAAATTCTATATTTTATATCAAAAATACTATTCGTAATACTTTTGTCGTTGGTAAATACGTATGTATAATTGATGTTTTACGTGATACTTTTATATGAATTCAGTTTTTGTTAAGAAATGATCAAGGCTGTTCTCTATTTCTATCCAGAATCTTAGTTATTGTCATTCGGCCGATTCAAGTACAAATCTTACCATGACGGTTCTGTGTTGCATCCACGAAAACGAAGAAGTTAGTGGGCATTGAGTAATAAGTTCATTGGTGAAGACTTTGAAAATAATATCCTGAAACATTTTGGGTGTGGGTCTGAATCTTGTCTCAGGCTTCACACTCACATCCTGACTTCAAAAAACCAAATAACTTCAATAATCCCTATAAAGAATAAAATTTTAAAGTTCGCACAATTTTGTCGAATACATACATGTTTCGAATGACTTAGGCGGATATAATTCTGCGGTCTCTTTTATCCAAAAAATGTGTACCTTACATTATCGTTGAAAGTGTTATGTTTTTGTTGAATGTCTAAGCGATACAATTAAGAGAAATGATTTTTTGTTGAGTACTTTGAATATCGTACCTTAAGTAAGTATCACTTTCTTAGTTCTTATTTAGTTCTAGTTGTTTTTTTATTCTGTTAGAATAAAATAAAATCTTTTTATTGCTAGAAATAAAAATTCTCTGTTACGTTTTCATTTTTCACAATAAAAATGATATTATTAAAATAAAGATAACTATCAACCTTATGTTGAAAAATTGAGTAATAGTTATTCATCAGAGTAACATTGTTAAAGGTTTTTCGTATGAATTGAAATTCTATGATTTCGATTGCCAGTAATCGATATATATTTATTTACCTTGCAATATTCCTTTAATTGGTTCCATTTGAGTCCAATCTATTATAAAAAGGTACCTCATAATTATGAGGTATAAAACACATTTTTGAAAAGCCTTCTTCACTATTTTTTCACTTGTATTGTGATTATATCGCTTAAAATAGTTACTATTCAGTTAAACATAAAATGACTTGTACAAGATTCTACGAAACTAGAATTATTAGAAAATTTTAATTGATCTAAAAATGAGATCTGAAAGAAAACAAACAGTTTTCTTGTTTGATGAAACAACAATGAAATGGTTGTTATGTAAATGAGTCTAGAATGATATGCCAATCATCGTGGAAATGATTCTCCGATCAGTACTGAGAGAATACTTGCAAAGTGGTCATTATCATATACTCTCGCGTTCAACAATATATATTTTGATACTTACCAGATGCGACACCATCATATGATTTTATTGCTACATTCGCGATGGCCAGAGTTGACTGCAGTTCTCCGTCACATTCAGCAGTTAGTTCTATAAAATGCACAATACATAACTAGTGTAACCGAATACTTCATTTCAATAACAGTTCATTCTCAGTTCCATGATTGTCTTATGACTCTACATTGACAGATACTGGTTAGGAAAGTTCCCTGGTGGATAGTACAATGCAACACCATCCCTAAAGATTAGAAAAGTTTTCGATTTCAAGTTGATCAAAAATGATTCACAATGAAACTATGCTTATTCTATGTTGCAATATTATCAATGTACCATTGTTTTTTGTCGAGAGTTTGATAACGATCAAAGCCGACTTGTTCGGTGCTTTTCCATACCAGTTGTGAAAAATGAAGGGACTTCTCTTGAAGGTAGATACTAAGATCATGTTGTTGCACTTCACGGTCCATATATCATTTTGACGATCGCCTTTTAGTACAGGTCCCATGAAATAGGCTAGGCTTTCGCCTAACACTGAGCTTCGATAACGTCGCCATTGGTCGGGAGAATATTTAAGTACATTCATGTTGATCAATTCGCGTGCCCAGTCAGTGGCTGCTTTAGATAAATGTTCATTCGCTATTAGTGTTGCTGTATTGTGTTGCAGGCGATACTGATTATGAGTAATCAGTGCATCTATACAAAATTTAGAACCATCATAATCGTCTTCATTCAGGCTCACGACCTGTTTACTCTGGACGCTTGTTTTTTCCTTCTTGCTGTCTAACACTGCTTTCTTAAATTTTTGTACGGCTTTCGTACTTGGAGTATGCTTCTGTGGATGCAAGTCAGGTAAAGGTGAAACTAGAAGTTCATATGGAGGGTTATATTCGTGAAGATGAATAATATGCAACCATCCTCCCGCAATTATTTGACTATTTACTTCGAAGTATGTACCAGGAAGAAGTAAAATTTCATCCTCATTCCGGAAGCACGAGTATCGACTAATGTCTTTTCCTTTCGATGCCTTAATCAAGAAGAGCGTTCGAGTACATGATATACCAAGATACTGAGGTGACTCCAGTACTTGGAGAGATCTTGTGCAAGAACTGAAGGCCCACCATGCTTGCAATTATCCACGAGGATAGAGCTCGTGGAGATGTTCGATTACACCACGCCAAACAGTTCCTCGTTCAATCGGTCTATGTACAAAATACAAATTGGTAGATGTCTTCAAAACAATGACTCACGATAATTTGAAAAGTGCCGTAAGAAATAACTTGAGATATTTGAACCAATGTTTGAAAAAACGTCGATCTGCTTTTCTTAATATTCGATTCAAAATACAATAGAGGCTTTCTTCGGATTTCTTCCATTCCGTTCTGTAAAGATGAATTGAGGCTGATTCATCTTGAGTCAAACCGTCTGCTGATGTTTTTGAATTCGTCTTTGATATAAAAATATTTCTGTTCAATTCACCTTAGACAATGCTTTTAAGTGGTTCACATGCTAATTCGAGAGATAAGAGAGATTCTTCTTCATAATCTTCAATAGGTGTGAGCATTTGTTTCGGTTCATCTTTGATTTCATCATTAGAAAGACGGTGATTCACATTGAATGCTGATGCCATTACACTTTTAAAGAGGCATTAAGTTCAATGTTGTTTCTACTCGTCATTGAAGGGAAAAAAGATATGAGAAAAATTCATTTAAATAATAATTGAATACGCAACTCTCTTAACTGGAAAAGAAAAGAATTCTGACATGAACGACAACACACAGGAAGTTATGTCTCCTATTTTTCTTACCAAGGTGAACGAACAAGTATGCTCATTATTAAGTATTTTTTGCATAACCCTAAAAAGAAAATTCGGTGAATGGTATTAAGGGAAATCTTACGAAGTAATTTTCTCAAATGGTAAATGCAAGTTAAGCTCATATTTATACTATGAATGAGAACCACGAGACTAGTTCAGTAAAAAAAAAATAATATCGCACGTCTTCTAGTAGATATACTGACTTGTGAGCATCTTGCTTTTTGTTATAAAAATCAGCAGCTGCAACATTCATCTCATTGAAATTTACGATGTGGAAAGTACGATTATCTTCTATTGAAGAGACGACACGAAATACATGTATAATAAAAAATGTATTCTAAGCAACAACAGAATTGTTAAGGAACTATTGCTTTGGCAGATCTCATGTGAGACATAGCATTACACTAAAGTTTGTGTACTTTACGAGAATCTGGTAGGATAATGCTTTAGCTTTAGCAGATGATGCTTCTGTGATAGATGAAAATGATCATGAATACTTTTAGGGTAATCAGTCAGAAAAGATGCCAAAAGTTTAATGCAATAGTCATAAAACGAACCGGACAGGACAGAAATATTAACCCTTCTAATGTTTTTCTAATCTCCATGTATTTCATAAATTCGTAGATACCTGATGAGGAACGGGATGTCATACTAGGAGATGTTTCTTCGTGAACTTTTTTGGAGTAAGTGGAATTGCATATACAATCTAATTCACTGAAATGCTTGATTTGTACGCGAAAGAAAATCCCTTTTTAAAAATTTTTTATCAATGAAAGTCAGATGTGGAAGAAAACATTCTCTGAAATTGAACGAGTGCAGATCTCGAGTGAAGTCTCCAGAAATTCTTCAATATTCTGTAGGAAGTCAAATTAAGTAATATTTTAGAATCTACACCAAGTACTGTTAAGTAAAAAAAAAACGACTGCCAGTCTATAATCTTCAGAAATATTACTATTGATTTCGTCAAAGCGAAGTTTAAGTTTGAAAGACAAT